TGATATTATCCTCAGGAAGCGGAGGGCTCTCTATTCAGTTAATATCTCCAATCCAGACTCCAGAAAGATTAACCTGATAAGGATGGACTGGTTTGAACATCTTTTCACTTGATCCTCTTTTGCCCTTCCTTATCCCACCCTTCTCTAATGTAGGAGAAGTGAAAGATGTTTTAGCCACAGGAGCCCATGTGAGCTAGTCTCTTGTGGGGGACAAGGGGGAAGCCAAGATTGTAGTCAAAAGGACATAGAGAAAGTCCTAGATTCCAAAGGCTCTCTGCCTTTTGATAGTATTATAGGGGTTATGGGTAATAAATAAAATCAATCAGCATCGACAAATTCTTGTGTCCTTGGTTCCATTAGCTACCAAACTGGAAGAGAGAAATTTCCAACCTACACATTCTATGAAATGAAAAAAAAAATCCCTCAGGTCCATCCTCCATTGCATACTGTATGGGGTTTTTTTGTTTGTTTGTTTCTGTTTTTTGCTTTTTGGTGAGGCAATCGAGATTAAGGGACTTGCCCAGGGTCACACAGCTTGTAAGTGTCAAGTGTCTGAGTTCGGATTTGAACTCAAGTTCTCCTGACTCCCTGGCCAGAGCTCTATCCACTGTACCACCTACCTGCCCACACACTGTATGGTTTTAAATTATACACATGCCTAAGATCAACTACATATGATTTATGTGATGAGACAATTAGGGTAAAATAATACATAAAATATAACCAGATAACAGGCTATAAAACTTTTCTTGACATAGTAAACAGGTATCATATAGATCAGCTCATATCACAAAGTATAAACCGTGGCCCTGGGACCTGAGGTATCTGGAACTGCAGTAATACATTTAAATGGATAAGCTCTGGAAAACTCTATTCCACACTCCAAGGAAAACTTCAATGTCTACCTTTGTTTGGAATGGAAGTTGGCCATTACTAAGCAATCACTCTTTTGCTCTCTATTTTGAGGTTCAGAATAAAATCTACTTTCTGTGATTACTCTCAGCAAGAAGCAGTCCCATTTCAGACTGAGTGTAATAGTAAGTTCATTCTCTTAATTTTCTCCCACATTTATTACACAAGACAATAATTAAATTGCATTTTTTTCTCTAGGAATAGAAGAGACTGATCTTTAAACCACTGGACTACAGATCCTGAGATGTATATGCCCTGGCTTAAGGGAGGTGTTATATAAAAAGTCTCAAATACGGCAAAGAGATTAGGGAAGACAAAGGCTAAAACAAAACAAAATGTTGGTTTTGGTGATTTGTTCATTCATTACCTTTGAGGGAGTAGTTTCAGTAGAGTGATGGGAATGGAAGCCAGATTGCAAACACTTGAGGAGAAAATGATTGTTAGAGAAGTAAAAAGAATAAGGTGTTGAAAATTTTTTCAAGTTTAGCAGTAACAAAAGAAAGAAATGAGATGATAACTGGAATAATTAGAATGTGAGATTGGAGAGAACTGAGCCTAGTTGTTGGATGAAAAGTCAATAAAGTGGAAGAGTAAAGATCCATGAGAAAGTGAAAATAATTGCTTAGAACAGGGTCTTAGAAAGAAAAGAAAGAGATGGGATCAACTGTAGTAGCTTATAAACATGACAGTTCTGCTCTGTCTTCATAAGAAGGTATTCTACTTCCTACAAAACAACAGAGAATGCATAAATAATGATGCTAAGATGTTTTGAGGAAAACAGGACAATTAAAGGCATTTCAAATAAATGACTTCAATTTCCTTAGTAAAATATGGAGACTGGGCCACTGCCGTACGTGAGGGGAAGGAAAAGGAATGGATATTATGGTTGGGGCTTGAGGAGAAAGAAAAAAGGTAAGAACAGTAGCCCTGGAGAACCGGATGTAGAATCAATGGAAGTAGAATAAAGAAAATGCCAAGAAGTAGTGAGGGCCCAGGAAGGTTTGTACACCACAAGTTTATAGTGGGGAAAAATGGCTTAATTTCATTACTTTATCCAGTAATACTTAGTATCCCAGGAACAGAAGTAGACATGTTTTCAGCTGGGTAATTAACAAATGTTTATTGATTGATTTATTGACATAATCTAGTTATTCCAAGTCCCCTTCATTATTAAGCAAATATATATATATATATATATATATATATATGTATGTATGTATATATATCTTAAAAACAAGTCACTTTTATTTGATATTTTGGCTTACAAAATGTTGGAAAGAATAAAACTGGGATCCATTACTTTATTTGCAAAAATTAACAGTATTTTCTTAAAATGTAAAGCAAAAATAAGATTTTCATGATTTTCCTCCCAGATGTTTCTTAATGAAGTATCCAACTAACTTCTGTGGTCTCTTTCAATATTTGAAAGCACCTCATGGGAGCTGCTAGTCTGATTTTCACTGAGATGATTTAGAAGAGTAATATACCCAACAGAGCTTTGATGCCACTAGCACCACACATGGCTGCAAAGATAGAAGATTCCATCTCAGCGTTTCTGATTCTCGCATCATAAGCTGCTTGTAAATACTCTTGCCAGTAAATACTCCTTGTCAGTATAAGAGCAGAAATCACCATCCAGCCAAGTTTGACCTTCACAGAAGTCTAAGGTACACATGATGCTTTTCATAACAGTATTAAACTCATTTATTTCCATGGCACATGCCATTAATTCCCGATTTAAGTCATCACTGAGCTCCATACTTTACACTATGCATTTCCCCAAAACAATTTGTTCAAATTCAGGTTTGAAACAAGGCTCCATAGTTTTTCTAGTTAGCACCACGGAACCAGATTCTAGACTTATTCCCCCACATGTACCAATGGGAATGATGACACCACCAGAACACTTGGCATAATACAGTAACTTGATGAGCGCATGTAACATGATTCCAGTGGAAGGAACTTCTGTACCATGGATAGTACAGGTCCAATCTATACATGAGATAGAGGTCAGTTCCTTCACAAATGTTAGGATGGTCCATGCCAGGTTGTACAACTGCCAGCTCTTCACCTATATAGATGATGAAAGCTTTCGTATGGCCAGGACTTCCTCCAATACATACAAACTTTACATCTCCAAACATGGCCTGTAAATCATGAGTTTTAATTCCAAGATTGAAATGGTAAAGAATATCTTCTTTCATTTTTGAGATATTTGGGTTTGAAAGGTGAGTTGAGCATTCATCTGAACACTGCATATTTTCAGGTTTCTTTTCCTGAGTAGCCATTCTTTTTAAGCTGGACCCTCTCTCTGCCTCTTTGGAATTCTTAATCTCCTTCAAGATGCAAGTATATATTTTTCTAAACCTAGTTCCACTATCTTGCCCCTCTACCACAGCTCCTACCAAAAGTCTGTGCATGAATATTAAGTTGTATAGCAGAGTCTGAGATTTAGAAGATCCAGCTGATAGTCCTGATTCTTTTATTAAATCACTTTTTAACCTTACAAAAAAACTCCTCACATCCTCACTTCTGAAGCTCAAGTCCCTTATCTTTCAAATAACATGGGATCAAATGGTTTCCATAGTTCCTTCCAGCTCTAAAGTTGAATGGCTCTCTAAAAAGCATATTCCCACAAAGAATATTTATAGTCATATGTAACCTAGGATACAAGCCTATTTGCATAAGGCTCCCCTCATTGGTGAAGATTGATTACTTTATGCCCTGTGTCTTCAGGAGGAGGGCAATTGTTGAGAGCTTGGGGGAAGAGAGATCCTAGTCTTCTGATTTCCAGCTTCTCTTCAGGTCCCTGAAGGGGAATGAAGACTTTGGAAAGAAATGAATCTGGACAGGAGCCAGCATTATGATATTGGGATCACAATGGCTTCTTCCCAGAGTCTTAAATCTAGTGATTCTCTGTTACCTCCAGGATCAAATATAAAATCTTCTGTTTGACATTTGACCGAACCTTTTATAACCTGCTTCCCCCCCCCATACATTTCCAGTCTTCTTACACTTTGCACCCTCCCATAATCTGTGATCTAATTATACTATTCCTCCAAGAAAACACTGCATCTCTGACTCTAGGCATTTTCACTAGTTATGTACTCTATGCCTAGAATGCTCTCCCTCCTCTGCTTTCTGGCTTCCTTCATGTCCCAGCTAAAATTCTCACCTTCTACAGAAAACATTTCCCAATTTTTCATGCCTTCCCTCTGCTGATTATTTCCAGTTTATCCTGTATATAGTTTGTACCTAGCTGTTTACATGTTGTTGCCTCCTTTATTAGCTCCCAGAGACCAAGGACTGTCTTTTCTTTCTATCCCCAGCACTTGGCAGTGTTTGGCATGTAATAGGCACTTAATAAATATTATTGACTGATTTGGAGACCTGAAGAAAATCTGGAACTGTATGTCTTCTTTCTTGTAGCTGGAAGCCAGGAGACCAGAGTCTCTCCTCTCTCAAACTCTTTCCAACTCCACATTTCAGGAGTTTTCAATTTTCACCAATGAGGAGAATCCTGTGCAAGTAGACTTTGAGCCAAGGATCACAAATAGACTCAGAATTTAATGAGGACAAATGGGTTATAAAGAATATAATATTAGAAAGCCTTTCAATTACTTCTTTTTAAAAGTATATGTTCACAAACGCTTTGTTGCTATTGGTAATTTTATTTATTCATTAATTGATTTATTTATTTATCTGTGATACTTGATGACTCAACAGGAAAGTTTCAGTGAGAAATCAAGTTAAGATCTGATCCCTTTGAAACACAAGCGTTTTTATCATTTTAAAACTGACCCAGGTGTGGAAGCTAGCTGAAAAGCCATGCAGACGTTCCTTCAGTTATGCTGATTGGAATGGGTTCCTTCCAATACTTTGAATTGTGTGACTGCCTCCTTCCCAGGACTGCAGGAGTTAAAGGAGTCAAAAGCAGCCGAGGGAATGATATACTAGGAATACCTTCCCTCCCTTTGACCTCTAGGTTATCTCTCACAGCAGGTCAATGTCTCTATGGGAACAGGAGGTGGGATCAGAGGAGCAGAAATGTACAAGGGATTTATTACCACTCAATCAATCAATTAATTAACAAGCATTTACTAAGCATGTAGTCGAATTGGAGACACCGTCCCTCTTGAGGATCTCCGCCGCCATGGCACAATTTTAGGGCTTTGCTGCTACTGTGTGCAGGGCGGCGCAGCGCAGAGCACCAATCCGACGTGCCTCCGCTCAGAGAGGCGGAGCCTCAAAACTTTCCCTAAACAGCCTCAAGCAGCAGCAATTCTAGTGCGCCATCCTACCCTATACCTTCTGACTTGCGCTTCTTTCGCTTTCAGCTAGACAAGTTATCCTAGCATTCTCTGGAGTGGACACAGGTCCACGCCACAGCCATGGCTAAGCCTTTGACTGATCAGGAGAAGCGCAAACAGATTAGTATCCGTGGTATCGTGGGCGTTGAGAATGTGGCGGAGTTGAAGAAGGGCTTTAATCGGCACTTGCACTTCACTCTGGTCAAGGATCGGAATGTGGCCACCCCTAGAGACTACTATTTCGCCTTAGCCCACACTGTTCGTGACCACCTGGTGGGGCGCTGGATCCGCACTCAGCAGTACTACTACGAGAAGCACCCCAAGGTACTAAAAAGGCCTGCCTTCTTCCTAACCACTCTTCATCCTCTACATCCTAAACCTAGACCTTCTGAACCCTTTCCTGCTACTCTGCTCTCTTGATGCACCACTTCAAGCTTTAGGTGGAAAGAGCTGAATTTGCTAACGGACTTCTTGATTCCAATCTCCACTACTTAATTCTCGTTAAATGGCGTGGGGCAAATTTACCTCACCTCTTAGGCTTCACTTTTCCTTCTTTTCACTTTTTACTCTTTCTGGAAAATGAGAGCATGATCCCTGTAATCATGCTTATAATGGTAGACAACATTTATACAGTGCTTTGAGGTATTAAAAAAAAATCCTCAGCTCAACCTCAGCGTTAGGCAATAGTTCTCACTTTACAGATGGGTTAAGAGACCAAGGAGATTATTGTAACTTAACCATGGCCTCACAGCTAGTAGATTTAACCTGCTACACACACATCCCTTCCCACCTTTTCCCTGATACACTCCTTATTTCATGCAACAAACATTTATTAAGTACCTTCTGTATGCAAAACCCTGCAGTAGGAACTGGAAGAAGATACAGAACTTATATGATAAGGGATAGTTGCTTTTATGGACAGCTAACTATAATATATACTGTAAGGGCATTGAAAAGATATGAAACAAAGTGTGTGAGTTTGGGGGGAAAGTTATTACTTGATGGAGGAGATGATAGTTGAAAATATCATACTTAACATTTCTGGACCTGTTACCTCATCTATAAAATCAGGGTGTTGGACTAGACTTCTCGGTTCTTTTCCAAGAATTCTATTATCCTCTGATTCAGAGAATTTGGTTTCAAATCCTGCCTCTGACATTTGCTAGCTCTGTCCCCTTTAGGCAAGGCACTTCTGTCTAAGCCTTTCTTATTAATAAAATGGGAATTATCCTTGTGCTAGGAACCTCACAAGATTATGAGCAAAGTGCTTTGTAATTATAAGTTGTTATATTTAAAATGGAAGCTATAATTACTATAATTCCCTTGGTCCCTCTGTGAGCAATCTGCTTTGTCAGCATAGTGGCATCAGGGCCTCAGAAGGATGACTGTCTAGAAATCACAATGAGTTGTGGCCGGCCTGAAGGTAGTACTATCACAGGGGTCAAATGAGATAATTGCCCAGTAACTGCTGCATTACTTGTACTTTTTTTAAAAAAAAAATTTTCCTTTGGAATTCAGAAATATCATCCTGAAGCCTAGTTTAATCTTTAGTATCTAAGAGAAGTGAGCTTTTCTGAAGTAATTTAGCCTGACCCTGAAACCACAGGAAAGAGTATTAGAGTGTGAATAGCTTTTGTAGCCTAACTGGTATTGGTTAAAGCATTGTGCCAAGATCTATTTTGTCTACTTTTATTTCCATTGGGCATAGACTTACTTAGTAAGTAGATTTTAATAGTACTTAATTTTGTGAGTGCTCAATTCCTGTGGAGCAAAATGATTTTAAATGGAGAATTCCCAGTAAAACATCAAATTATAAGATAACACATCTAGAGCTAGAAAGGACCTTAAAGAACATTTAGTATAACTTCCTAATTTTACAGGTAAGGAAACTGAGGCTCAGGTAGTACTATCCAAGTAACTTAACTTGAGTAATTAGAGTGTACAACAGAACTATTTGCATTTATACTGTATACCTATTAGTATACAGTGAACTGGACTAGCTAGCCAGAGAAATGTTTACAGTTGCTGAAGTTTCTTAAAGGACTGGGGAAGCGGGAGAATCAGCTGAGGGTGGGACAATAGCTGTAGCAGGGAACTTTAGGATGATCTAAATCTTTTTCAGTACAATTGAAGGGAAAAATTACATAATTTATCATGTCACCTATTTATTTTCTCTGATGAGAAATGGGGCTGAGGGGGGATATGGATAAATAATAATAAAACTTCAATTTTAGGCAATATTTTGAACCTCTCTTCCATTAAATGCTTTCTCAAAACAATAAAGCAGGCATATTTCAAACTGTACTTTTCCTTTATCATTTTTTCCTCAGTTAGAACTAAGAGCAGACAGTAAGAAGAAATGGTCCTTGACATTGTGCAGTTTTCCAATCTAGGCGAGGGCGTCACGGCAATAGTAGAAACAGCTTTAGAACTTGAAATTATATCATCTTGGATTGAATTCCAGATTTTCAGTATATTATCTATATGATATTGAACAAGTCATTTAACTTCTCTGATCCTTAACCTTATCATTTGTAAAGAGACTTATACTATTTGATTTCCCAAAGTTCCTTCCAGGTCATTGTTTTTGCTCATAGACATAAATACAGTAATTTCAATAGAGAGTGATACACAAGTGTGTTAAGGTCATATAAGAACAAAGAACTTATATGAAATCAGGGAGATCAGCAAGGGATCAAGGAAGGCCTTATGGAGAAGGTGACACTGGAATTGGGCTATAAAGGGTGGCAAGAGGCAAAGAAGAAGAGAGAACATTTGAGATGTAGAGAAAGTGAGCAGAAGCACAAAAACACAGTTCTAGTTTGGCTATTGCATAGAGTGCATTAGGGAAGTAATATGAAATAAGGTAGAAGAGGCAGGGCAGCACCAGGTTGTGGAGAGCATTGAATAAGGATCAAAGGAGTTTGAATTTTAGTCAATACACAATAAGGAGTCACTGGCTATTTTCAGGTCCAAAAGATGTGACCACATCTGTACATCAGAGTATTTTGGCAACAGTATGAGAGATGGAGTAAGAGTTATAAGAGATAAGGAAAGAAGGAATTCAAGCATATCTGTTAAGAAAGCTGTTTATTTTAGTAGTCTAAATCAGTGGTGTCAAACTCAAATAGAAGCAAGGGCCACTAAACTGTACATTGACTAAACCATGCATATTGACTTAGAAAACCACATATTAACATGATGTATGTTTTATTATATTTTTATTTATTTTATTAAATATTTCCCAATTACCTTTTAATCTACTTTGGGCTGCACTTGGGAATTTTGTGGGCTACCTGCACCCTAAGTCATATGTTTGACACCTGGTCTAAATCAATGGTAAGGAAGATATAGAGCTAGAATGTGACCAAGTCAAACCCCCTCATTTTGCAATGAAAAGACTGGCATCCAGAGAGGATAAGCAGTTTTCTCAATGTGACATAGGCAGTAATTAGAGATAGGGCTAAAGTCAAGATCTACTGATTCTAAATTCAGTGCTTTTCCTACTATAACTCACTGCTTCTAGGCAGTGGGAATACAGAAAATGAACAAACTTGAGAGGTGAGGTAGAGATGTATTTAATAAAATTTTATCACTCATTGACTTTCTTCTTCCTCACTTTTAATTCCCAACATAATGACTTCAGGGTTTCAGACATAATAAGCTCAGTTTTATACATTTTTAAGGCTGAGGTGCTAGTGGGATATCCATGTAGAAATGACTTCTTGTGGGTAGTTATATAATGTTTTAGGGTTTACAGAGCTTTCCCCCAAAAAACAAACCTGTGAAGTAGGTAGTACTAATACCATGTAGTGCAAGGTCATTTCTAGGAAAGACAAAAAAAATCTCTGTCCCACTTCAGATTGAATTCATCCTACTAACAAAGAAAAATAAACCCAAATACCCAATAGTTACAATGTCTGACAATGCAATACAACATTATTTCCCAATAGTTATATGGGGAAAGATACGTGAGTCTCTTTGAATGCTATTATCATTAGGGGTCATAGAGGGAGCTTATTTAGATAGGTCTTGGAGAGGTTCTGTAAAGTTTTAATGATTTTTAAAAGAAGAATGGAAAATGGGAAAGAGGAATCCATTAAGAAAGGTTAGGGAAAGTTATCTCACATTTCATTCAACTGGTTAAAAAAAAGGAAAGAGAAGAAGGGAAAAGGGGGGACTAGAGAAGTGTAGATTAGTGAAGGGATTATTCTTAAGGAAAATAAATTTTTACTAAGGATGAATGAAAATATTTATAGCATTTTGAGGTGGCAAACAATTGGAATCTGAAGAAGTACTATTAATCAGAGAATGGCTAAACAGGTTATAGCATATGGATATGACAGAATGCTATTGTGCTATAAGAAATGTGTGAATTAATATAGATAGAAGTGAACAGAACCTGGAAAACAATTTGTACAGTAACAACAATATTGTGGAGACATACAGCTGTGAAGGACTAGGAATTCTGATTAGCATAATGGCCAATCACAGTTCCAGAGTAAGAAATATGCCACTGACCTCTTGGTAGAGAAATGAGGGACTCAGAGTACAGAATGATACACACATTTTTTTCCCTTTAGATGTGGGCAATGCAGAGATTTGGTTTTTTGCTTGACTGTATGGAAGAAGGCTTTTGTTTTTCTTTCATTCTTAATCAATAGGCTGGGAGGAAGAAGGAGGGCAGATTTTTGCTGCTGAAAAATTAAAATTTAATTTTAAAAAAGGAACTACTCTACTATTCCCTTGAATATCACCAGGTGTTGGTCATTCAACACCTAATATGATGAATGTAGGGGTACTACCTAAAAATTGACCTTTAAGCCACCCTGGAAATAGGACTTAATTTTAAAAATTGAATTGTCTTATACAGTAAAAATTTTCTAGGAGAGAAGTTGAGTGACATACTTAAGTCAGTGAAAAATGCTTAACATATATGTAGTGTAGAGTATAGATTTATTATACCACAAAAAATATAGGCCCGTAGTAGGAATCTTCTCAAGACAGAATCTCTTCCTAAGAAAAATCAGTTGAGATTTGTACTGGTTGTGCTACAGAGTAACTAAAGGGCTGAAAAAACAAAATGTGTAGTTGGGTAGAAAATGTCAAAGGACATGCTTCTGAGGTTGCAGAGCAGAAAAAAAAAGCAACAACATAAAATCGTGTATCAAGACTTCTTGCAAAAGCTAGAGTAGCACTTTGGGCCTCGTGCAAATGCTGAAATTCCAGCAATTTTATTTAGCACACAGGGGAATTGACAACGAAATTTGTGACATGGGTAGAGAGTACAATATTAAGATAATCAGAATAACATACAGGCAAGGGTTATCTGAGCTAAAGGCATATCTAATAAATACAATATCAGAAAGTAAATAACTGACTTGTAAGCAGTTAAGAGAAAAATAAGAATATTTGAATAATGGGCTGAAAGTGTACTGAGTAGCTCAATTCAGGAAAAATAAATTTTGATTAGCACCAAAACGTCTTCTCTTGTATGGGTAATAGAAGTACAGCAAGAAAATTGCACTGGTAACATAATTTTAAGGACAGAAGTTTATAGAGAATTTGCTGAAATATGGAACCTTGACCAAAATCATACTACTTTTGAAAACAAAGGACCAAGAGGACAAAGGTCGTAACACAATAGTCTGAGGCAAGATCACCTTCTGTGCAGTTATGACCAAAGAAACAGAATAACCTTGTTTACACCTGTGGCCTGGATGGGCATTTGAGTGGTGACTGTAAAGTTGGTGTGTGAGAGACTAAATTCTAAGAAATCAGCATTTGTGAAATAAAGGTAGAACTAGAGATGCAGGTCATGACAGATCCTGTAGGCATCATTATTAGTCAGATCATGACAATTGGCTACAAGAATACAACTCTGAGGTAATGGAGAAGCAGAACTATTTTCAGTGACAGATGTGGACTAGATTCCCATAAATAATTCAGATACACTTGAAATGAGAATTAGCACTTGATTCAGTGGAAACTCATGAGAAGAAACTAGTACTAAGAAATAAATGATGGTATTATGCCCAAGTTCTCAAGATTTGAAACAAGATGACAAAGTTTTGCTGAAAGGCTTTAAGGTTCAGAAAATATTGGAGAGATTGGAAATAGAAACTAAAGAAAGACCAGATATAAAATATAACCAGATTTTTTAAAAACTTGAAAGCAGGATTTCTCAAAAAAAGTGGAAATTTAAGTGGGACAAACACATGTTCACAAAAAAAATCAAGATGCTCATCTTTTAGATATAAAGAGACAGCCAGATGTTGAAACAATTTTTTGTTTATATTTATTATATTTATTTGTTTGTTTATATTAAAAACTGTATTATATTTGTTTATATTTTTAAAAACTATAAAAAAGGCACATTGAAATAGTAGCTCAAGAATGCTGAAGCTCAGTTTGCTTTCCTGTAAGCACAGAAGTACTAAAAGCAAAAATCAAAAACAAAAAAAAGAAGAAAAGAAAAAATCTTTTCTTTGGGTAAATCAGACACAATATATAGAAATCCAGTAACTTTGCCTAAATCCAAGGAGGACCTCAATTCAATCAAAGGAAAGGATTCAACCCACAGGCAGCTCCTTTCCTATCTAGAACCTCACCTATACAAACATCTAAGAAAAACAGACCATCTGTAAAACTTAGAAGTAAGGACACCTAGTCTATGTTAATCAGTAAATTCAGATACATGCAGAATGGCAATAGGTCACAAAAGCACCACAGTCATACTTTGCATTAGGCTAGACTGACGTCTTATTGAAGAAGTAGCTACTTGCGCAGCTAGAACTTATTCATTGTTGGATTATGTGTAATGTTGTTTTGTAATTGTAATCTTGTTGCTATCTTGTGTATGAATTTCATATTTTACTATGAAATGGATTATTACAATGTTTGTTTTATTGATATATCTTTTGGAAAAGTATATACAATGTTATGTATATGCTGTTACTATATTTATAATAGTTATTATTATTATTAAAATAAAACATTTGTTAAATGCTTACAATGTGCCAGGCACTAGGAATGCAAATACAAGCAAGCAAGAAAGGGGAGATGAAAATGTCTCTTACCAAAGAGCATTGGTATACAATCCTGTGCAGGACATTCCTACCTTTGGTGGCAGATTTGTAGGTTCAGGACTTCAGAAGTTCAACCTCAGTTGAGACTAAGTGGCAACGGAAGGAACTCCTTTCATTCTAGAGCAGTAATATCAAACTTGAGCAGAAATGAGGGCTACTAATTCGTATGGGTTGTATGTGAGTGAGAACTGGGCCTCATCTGATGACTCTGGAATTGTAGCTGGTCATTGTATAGATCAGAGTTCTTTAATCTTTGAAAGATGTCTATCTTTATTTTTTGTTTGTTTGTTGCTAGGCAGTGACTTGCCCAGGGTCACACATCTAGTAAGTATCAAGTGTCTGGGCCAGATTTGAACTCAGGTCCTCCTGACTCCAGGGCTGGTGCTCTATCCACTGCACCACCTAGCTGCCCATAAAGATGTTTATCTTTACAATGTTGTTTTTATTATATAAATTATTTTCATGTTAGTTTCCTTTTAGGAACTAGTTAGGCCTTTGATAAGGACACTACAAAAGGATTTCAAAAGAAATTTTATTAAGTGTTGATAAGGGTTTTCTGTGCAGGTTTTGGTGTAAGATATTGTCATAGTGGATATTCTTAATATTTTATAACACTGAAATTACCTTGCCTTCAGTAAAGGGAAAATAATTCTTCACCTCCCCAAATTAAAACCTAATGTTGTTGTCAAAATGGTTTCATTCAAAAGAACAACAAAAATAGCAACAATATTGCATTTACAGTGCTTTAAGATCTATAAAATGCTTTTCAATTGTTCCATAAATAAATGTTTATTAAAGTACTGCTATGTGTCAGGCACCGTGCTAAGGGCTGAAGATATAAAAAAAAGATATTCCCTACACTCAGGGAGCTTACAATATAGTTGGGGAGCCAATAAACAAATAAATACGTACAAGGAAGCTATATATTTAAAAGTAGCGTATTATTATCATCCCATTTTAACTGAAGCCCAAAAAGAGTGCAAAGGTTGCGTAGGTATTATATTATGTTTCAGGGGATTAGTCAATTTTATACATCTGAAAGCTCATGTATACATATATTGAGAAGTAATTTTTCCTCTTTTGTTGATGACTCAGCATGTCTCTCTGACTTTTACTAGGAAAATCAAGGTTCCGCTATAAAAATTCCCTCTATTTTTCTTTGTTTTAGAGAGTTTATTATCTGTCCTTGGAATTTTACATGGGACGTACTTTGCAGAACACCATGATCAATCTTGGTCTGAAGAATGCTTGTGATGAGGCTATTTACCAGGTAAATCTATACATTTTCTCTTATCACTTTTCTTTAGACTACAAAGAGTTAACTATTTGCAAAGAGTAAACTTAATTTTTTTTGTTTTTTGGAGAGAAAGGAGAATAAAGGGTGACCAGGATATGTTCTTTCATTTGTGTCGGGGACTCTTGCTTGGGGACAGTAATTCCTGTTATTTATAATCTTAGAGTATTATCTAGGGGCACTGAGGGGTTGAGTGATTTTGCCAGAGTCACATAGCTAGTCTATGTGAAAGGAGAGACTTGAACTCAAGGCCTCCTGACACCAGTTCAAACTCTCACTATGCTCCCTCTCAGCCCTTGCTACTTGGCATGAAATGGTTTGACAACTGTATTTTTGCCAATGAATGTTTCAAAACAGAAATGTAATCAACCTCTGGTTTAAGTAATAGAAAACAGAAATAGAATCAAGATGATTGGTTGTACTTTTTGAGATCTTTCTTTTGAAATTAAAAAAAAATGTTTTTCCTCTTATAGTTGCAAGGTCATCCACTGCATTCTGAGTCATTGACAGCCATCTTGACTTTTGTCTTGCCACTGGACTTGGATGACTCTTGCAGAGAGAGTAAGGCTGATGATTTTGCACAGTTCTGCCTCACTTGAATCCAATTCATGCTTAAGTCCAGATATCACCCTCATAAGGTCATTAATCCTCTTTGAGAACAGTGACAACATTTTAAAACTGAAGTTAGCATTTGGAAAAAAAGTTTTTGAAAATGTTTTTCTTCTTTTTTTCTAACCTAAATGTTACTTTTCCTATCTTCTTTTGTAAAATTGAACAATGTTGTTACTTTTGTTCTTTTGTTGGAGCATCTTAAGTTTTATTTTTCAAAACAGGGAAAGAATAAACGCTGTAAACTCTTTAAATTACTTTGTAGCTTTCTCTGTTGAGTCACTCCATCCTATTGTTTACAAAGCGTGAAACATACTTCTTTTTTAAAGAAATAATGAGTTCCACAACCTCATAAAAGTTTCTTTTTAGTAATTCACTTCTACATATTATTCTCCTCCAGTTCCATGGAAGCATGAAGGAAACAAACTGCATATAGTTCTCAGACTTATTGGATGTAATTAGTGAGATACACAGTTTTTGCGTAAAGCCTTTGCCTAAATTCCACGGGTAGAAATATTCAAATCCCTACCCTTCTTTTGTACATGCAGTGCTTTCAGTTTGTACATGGAGTTCTTTGTCACTAAAACCTATCTCCTTTCAAATGGATTGCTTTCTAATATTCACTAAGCATAAAACTGTTGCAACTTTCTTTAATGCTTTATGTGGCAAAGCAGAAAGCGTAGTTCTTCCCCTCAATTAGTTTACAATTTAATTAGATGAAATAAATTATATTCAAGTAAAACTAGGAAAGTTCATCTATATAGGTTTGTTTTTTAACATTATATTACAATCTTTTATTTATGTTCTAAAATTGAATTTTTATTTATTTTTTAAACCACAGGCAGTTTTTATTCTTTTTTCTTCAGGTTCAAATTCTGTCTCCCCTTCTACCTGTCCTCTATCCAATAAGAAGACAAAAAACCTCAAAATATATTCCAAATATGTATAGTCATACAGGGGGCAACCAGTTGGAACAGTGCTGGAAGACTGAAGTGCTGGAGTCAGGAAGACCTGAATTCAAATATGGCCTTAGACACTTACTAGCTGTGTGATCCTGGGCAACTCAGTAAACCTTTTGCCTCAGTTTCCTCTTCTGAAAAATGAGCTGGAGAAGGAAATGGCAAATCACTCCTGTATCTTTGCCAAAAAAAAAACAAACCCAAATGGGTCATGAAGAGTCAGACACAACTGAAAAAACTCAACAACAACAAATTAGTCATGCAAAACAAATGATCATATTAGCCACGCTCAAAAACAGAAAGAGAAAAAAATGCTTCATCCAGCACTCTGAGTCCATCTATCTGGAGTTGTCTGTCTGGAAGTGGATAGTATGTTTCATTATGAGTCCTTTGGAATTGTGGTAGGCTATTGTGTTGATCAGCTGCAAAGTCTTTCAAAGTTGATTATTTTTACAATATTTCTATTACTGGTGATTGCTTTAGTTTTGCTCACTTCATTTCACCTCCATTCATATGGGTTGTCCCAGGTTTTTCTCAAACCATACCTTTCATCATTTCTTATAGCAGAATAGTATTCCATCATATTCATGTATTACAACTTATTTAGCTATTCTTCAATTCATGAGCATCCCCTGAGTTTCCAAATCTTTATCACCACAAAAATAGCTGCTACAATTATTTTTGCACATATTGGTTGTTTTCCTCTTTCTTTTATCTCCTTGGGATTTAGCCCTAAAAGTAGCATTGCTGGGTAAAAGGGTATGCACAGTTTAATAGTCTTTGGGGAATACTTCCAATTTGCCTTCCAGAATGGTTGAACCAGTTCACAGTTCCACCAATAATAGTGCATTAGTGTGTCTATTTTCCCACATCCCCTCCAGCATTTGTCATTTTCCTTTTTTTTTTGCCACCTCAGCCAATATGATGGGTATGAGGTCTTTGAATTTGCATTTCTCTAATTAATAATGATTCAGAGCATCGTTTCTATTGATATTGGATATTGATAACTTTGATTTTTTTCCTCTGAAAATTGCCCATTCATGTGCTTTGTCCATTTATCATTTGGAGAATGGCTCTTATTCTAATAAATTTGGCTCAATTCCATATATATTTGAGAAATCAGACCTTTAGAGAAAGTTACTACAAAAAAATTTCCCCCAATTTCTTGCTTCTCTTTTAACTGCATTGGTTTTATTAATATACAGAAACTTTTAAATTTTATATGATCAAAAAGTATCCACTTTATCTCCCATGAACCTCTCTATCTATTGTTTGGTCTTGAATTCTTCTACTAGCCATAGATCTGACAGATAATTTCATCCTTGCTGTGCTAATTTGTTTATGTCTAAATTATGTACACATTTTGAGCTTTTCTTGTTGTACAGGGTGAGTTGTTGGTCTATGCCTAGTTTTTGCCAAACTACTTTCTAGTTTTCCCAACAATTTTTGTCAAGTAATGAGTTATTGCCCTAATAGCTGAGATCTTTGGGTTTATCAAATGCATACTTGCTCTGATCATTTGTTTCTATGTATCACATACCTAATCTGCTCTACTGATCAAACTCTTCTCTATTTCTTTCCCAGTACCAAATAATTTGAAATCTAGTATTGCTAGTCCCTCTTTCCTTCCTATCTTATTCACTGAGATTCTTGACCATTTGTTCTTTCACATGAATTTTGTTATTATTTTTTCTAGCTCTATAAGGTAATTTTTGGTAGTTTGGTATGTCATGGAATAAATAAATTCATTTATTTATCATTTTTTAATTATCATTTTTAATTATATTAGATTGAGTAATTATTATTCCTCCAATTATTTGGATCTGTCTTTATTTGTGCGAAAGGTTTTTTGACACTGCAAAATTACAGAACTGTGACAGATGGACTTTCAAGAATTTTACTCATCTGTAGTTATTTTAGATGGAATTTCCCTTGATATTTCTTCCTGGTGAGTTTTATTGGTAATATATGGAAATACTGATGATTTTTGTGAGTTTATTTTGTACTCTTAAACTTTCACAGAAGTTAATTGTTTTGATAAATTTTATAGTTGACTCTCTAGGGTTCTATAGGTAAACCACATAAAAGTGATGATTTCCTCTTTAGCTATGTTTATTCCTTCAGTTTTTTTCTTTTTTTAAAAAATTACTATAGTTAGGATTTCTTGTATGATATTGAATAGTAATAGTGATAGCAGACATTCTCACTTCATCCCCTGATCCTACTAGAAAGGCTTCTAGTTTATCCCCATTATAAGTAATACTTGCTCTTGGTTTTCAATAGATGGTACTTTTCATTTTAAGGAAAGCTCCGTTTCTTCTTGTGCTTTATAGTGTTATTAGTAGATGTTGTATTTTATCAAAATATTTATCAAAAGTTTTTTCTGCATCTGTTGAAATAATCTTGCAGTTTTTGTTGTTTTTGTTATTGATGTGGTCAGTTATGCTTATAGTTTTGCTAGTATTGAATAAGCCCTGCATTCCTGGTATAAATCCAGGCTGGAAGTAGTATAAAACCTTTGTGATATATTGCTGCAATCTCCTGGCTAGTATTTTATTTAAAATATTTGTATCAATATTCATTGGAGAAATTAGTTTACAGTTTGCTTTCTCTGGTTTAGGTATGAAGACCATATTTGCACCACAAAAAGGTATTTGGTAGGACTTTTTCTTTACTTATTTTCTTCAAACAGTTTATGTAATATTGGAATTAATTTTTGATAGAATTCATATAAATCCATTTGGTATTGTTTTTTTTTCTTAGCAAGGTCATTTATGGATTATTCAATTTCTGTTTTCTAAGAGAGTTTTTAAGTACTCTATTTTCTCTTCTGTTAATCTGAGCAATTTATATTTTTGTACATATTTATCCAATTTCATCCAGATAGTCAGTTTTATTGGTATATAGTTGGACAAAAAAGCTACAAATAGCTTTATTTCCTCTTCATTGATTGTCAATTCAACTTTTTCATTCTTATACTGGTAATTTGGTTTTCTTTTCTTTTAATTAAGTAGCAGACAGTCTGTTTTACTTTCCCCCCTAAATGTCAGTTCCACTTTTATTTATTAATTTAATGTTTTTTTTAACTTTCAGTTTTCTTTATATCTCCTTTGATTTTCAAAATTTCTATATTCATGTTTAAATGGAATTTTTAACTTATTGTTTTTTAAATTATTTTAGTTGCATGCTTAATTTATCTTTTATTATTTTATTTATAAATAAAATAATTTTATTGATGTACCCTCTTAGAGATATACATTTCCCCCTAAATACTGCTTTCACTTTATCCTACAAATTTTGGTATGTTGTCTCATTATTTTTAATGAAATTGTTGATTGTTTCTATAATTTAACTTTAAACCACTCACTTTTTTCAGGATTAAGTTATTTAGCTTCCAATTAATTTTTA